AGACCTTGCACACCCCAATCCGAACATCTTGCAATGTCCAAGCGGTAACAGCATGAGTCAAAAGCAAGCTCACAACCAAGTCTCGTATTGCGCTAGCGTAGCCTCCAAGAAGTGAGAGACCATGGTGACACGAAACACAAGGAGGCTACAGAATGTAGCACATGTTCGTTTTTTCTTTCCTTAGGAGCCATAATTTCTATCTTCTCTGGAATATTTTTTAACTGGAGAAAAGATTGATGGTACTAAGAATTATTTACATTCATCCTCTGGTGCACTGTCTCTTTTTCATCTACCTGAGAAATATATTTGCATTCTTCTTATCTTTTGCCCAATGCATTTCTTTGGATTTGATGGCAGAACATCCTTTCCAGATTCTTTGAATGCCCGGAATTCCCTGTCATCTATTCGACTAACTTTCCTATCTTTTGGTTTCTTGCGTGTTCACTTCGCTCACAACCTTTGCTAGTCGAATTCCGGTGAGTGAAAGGTGAAGAAGATAAGCGGGTAACGATGTCATGTGTGCCGTCTTAATGTCCGGCCCTTGGTTCGTTCCAAAAAACCTTAATGGTGCTACAGACAACAGATAGGGGCCCTTGCAGACATTCATTACATGTCGTGCGTTTACTTCGCGCACTTACATATCCAGTTCATGTAATCGCTTCGTACACTTAGTCGTTTCTACTCACTCCTAGCACTCCAAGCACTCCAGGCAACATTTATCGGCATCCGAAGAAGCTCCACCGGATGCGATTTCCGATGCAAGCAAGCTCCGAGAAAAGACCATGGTCCGCAGCGGCTTCGCATTTCGCACGCGAGGCCAGACGTCCAATGCCAGTTTCGAGGACGGCAAGCACGGCGTCCAAAAGTAACGACAAGCGAGGATAGTTTGGAGGACGGCGAGAGCGGACACGCCCGCGCCTACGTGAGGGTGCGCGATGTTCGGTCAAAATGCGTGCAGGCGCTATCGAAAAAACCAGTCCGCAGACCAAGCTGCTCTTGCTTTTGACATCTTTCGACGTTGGAACCCCTTCGTGCTGATGCACCGTTTGGGGAACCAAGGACGCATCTGCAAGAGTGAAGCTTTCCTAGCAACACTGCAACATAGAAAGCAGGAATGTGCCTCGAACTCCAGCGCATCCTCGACATTGCCATGGCCTTCCACATACTCCAGGGTCCTTGGAGCGCTCATCCCTACATGCGAAATCCTACGAGCACGGTTCTGGCAGGGGTTCGCCAGTCTGCCTGGTGAGATCAACCTGCGGTCCCAGCGACACATATGCCTGACACCATGTCATGCGAACCTCGCCGCGGAAGAACACCGCAGCATATGCAACGGCTGACGCAAGGAGGTAATCGGACTTTGTCTGGCTCTCCTGCTGGAGGAATTCTGGTGCTACAGCAGGCTTTTGCAGGGCTGCACATGTTCAAGGAATGGTTAGTGATACCTGCGAGGCCTGCCAAGCATGCAGATTGCAAGCTGCTCCACAATGTGGGGTTGGGGACGAGGTGAGCAGTTTGTGGAACACAATCATCCGGAATACCTAATATCAGGACTGTGTACAAGTGTTGAAAAAGCTCATCCTTGGCCTCTCAGCTAGAACAGTTGCTGTGCAAGGAGCCTCCATGAAAACAAAGCGAACAGTCGAACTTGCTGGCGAAAACCTGACATTCTAGGCCGACATCTATGGCATGTGAGCCCGGAGCCATCTCCTTGTCTGGTTTGTCGTGGTCTCCCCATGCCTGCAGAAGGCCAACGTGGACGGTCACCTTGTCCTCACCTGCTTCTGCCCAGGACGTAAAGCGCTGATTGAGGGCCAGGGTCACGCTCTGCTTCACAATGAGGTAGATGAGAAAGCCTGGGATGAGGATGCCGTATGCCACAGCGCAGGAGTATCCGACATAGTTCGCCTCAGAACCGAATCCTGTCTGCAAGGCCCGACGGTGAAAGAGCATGTCCAACTGAGAGCGTTGAACAACTACTCGATGGATTTGGGGCTGAAAAAAATCTCTCTGATTCTACCGCTGTGCGTCAGGGCCATTTTTTCAAATCCGTCCAATCTCAAGCACAGCATGCGTGCAAATGGTGTCGTAAAATATCGTAAAACCGTTTTGCGCCGATAAGCCCGCACGCCGATGCGCTGGTGTGCCGGTATGACGCTTTCGCATGCCCCCCGGCCCCCCCCTGGAGGAAACACGGCGATACGCCGACATACCGCTCGGCCGACGTGCCAATGTGCCGACACGCCGATATGCTGGTACACCGCACCCACGGGCAGGAAATATGTTGCCCAGAGCCCGGAAATACACCGATACGCCGATCGTGCCCTTCCCCCCCCGCCGGTGTATTGGTGCATCTCGGTGCGGGCCGGGCGCGGTTGGAGGCCCGAAGCGGCGTGTATTGGTGCGGGAATAAAAGGGCCGAAACAGTGTATCGGTGCACTGTTACGCCGATACCGGGAGCGACGGCACGGACCGGTGTACCGGTATGTTGGCGTGCGTCGTTGTGGGGCTGTTTGGGCGACGCTGTTTGCGGTCACCCTGCAATCTCTCAGACCATGACATGTGGCAGCACTTGAAAGCATGGCCGGCTGTGGCAGCGCTTTCGGCATGACAAAACAGCTTAGTTGGGCTTTTGGTTTGGGCGTTTGGAAACAGTAGCCTTTCCAACGATCGGTGTATTCATTTTGGGTTGTCGTCGGTGTGGCACACGAAAACAGGCTGTGCTTCCGCAGCATTTGCCCATCAGAAACATACTACCCTCATGTGTTTCCCTCTGTGCTTGGCCACAACCGGTCGGAGCTGTCTTTCCTGGACCACTTGCAGAGTCCGGGTTTTCCCATGGATATCATGTTGTTGTTGCGGTACCAAAACATGACATACATCTGATGCAACATCGCTGTTGGATCACCCAGCATATCATGCATGTCATGTGCCCAAGTCCCCAGGCCATGGCCGCTCCCTTCGTCTCATCAGAACACCTCGGGCACAAGGTACAGCCATGCCGTGGTGCACTGGACTGGGCACGAGAGCTTTTAAAGCTTCCAGGTACCTCAAGTGAGGCAGCGCGGTGCGGAACGCGTAGTCGTCCAGGGGCACGCCACCTGCCGAAAGCTCACAAGGTGTCGATCACACCCAACCGGATGCTTACCACATCTTACCACGCAGAGGCCCTCAACCCTCGCGCGCAGGATAAATAACATCCGAGCAGTTGTGGGATTCCTGGCCTCCATCCACCCTCTGGCAGCGCAGAAGCTTGGCACAACTCTGGGCGCCACCGATGAAGAAAATGGCCAGTGACTTCAATGCCACTTCAACGCCGACGCCTGGCAATGTTGCACAACTCTTGAGTCTGTGACCTCAGGCAAAGACCTCCTGAGAAGTGGCGGCATTGATGCTATGATACAGGCGTTCCCGCACCTCCACGAAAACCGTGACACATACATGCCCAGAAGACGCAACCAAAGCCAAATTCCAGAGTCAACGGTCCTAGTGCAGGCCCAAGCAGATGGTTGCAACTGCCCAAATTCTCTCCCAGCAGGCACCCTGACAGCGATGCAAAACCTCCACCATGGAGCACAGCGCCAACAGCAGCAGCGGAAACATCGGCGAGGCGAAAGCGACGAAGATCCGGGCCATCCTGCGAAAAAATTGCTGCAAAAGCTGAGGCACCGCACGTGCGATGGAAATCATGCTTCGTGTTTCCGAAAGGGACGGCTTCTGCAACAGCTGTTGTCAAGCCAATTCCTTCCGTCTTCACATTCGAGGCGGAACGCATCGTGAATGCTGGTCACGGTCATCTGTATGAACTGCGCAATCTCCTGCATTCGATTCTTGCAACTACGTGCCTCTTCATCAAAATTCTTCGGACTACCTTGTCATGCATGATGAATGAGACGAAAAGATGACGAAATGAAGGGGCCTGTTCAGTCTGTTTGTCCACTTCGTGGTCCGCATCCGCATCCAAGGGAGGACTGAGCTCGGTGAGGACTGCCCAGAGCTGGAGCAGCTGCAGAAGCACCGGGCCCTGCGCTGCCAGCAGCGGAACCAAAGCCTTGGGACGCACCGGAAGGAGCACGATAAACATAGCCTGCATAGATTATCAGCTAATCGGTGGCTACGCATGGCAACGCTCCAGGTTACGCACAAGGAACCGCGCGTAGTGCAGAAACGCTCCAAAGCATGATTGCACAACTTTTCTAGCCTGTCGAAGTCGCTTTTGGAACCTGGTCACGGTCAAAGCTGTCAATGTTTTTTGGAGTCTGATGTCTCACGGGTTCCCACTGTCAGGAAGCGTTCGTCCAGTGTGCCCATCACTGTTCGGTTCGGCATAATCAGAATGCTTGAAAGAAGGGTGTTGCAACAATCATGCGACAGCCATACCGTCCCAACTATTGAAAGATCAGTGCCCTAGCTGCAACGTCAGTGACATCCCACGGCGTCTGTGGGGGTGGAGCTTCGACTGGAGCAGCAGCAGCGGCAGAATTCCTTCGAAGCTTGGGTCCCGCTTCTTCAGGCTAACAAAAGCTGATCGCACAGGCTACCTCCTCCATCGTGCGAAGACTCCGGCAGCGACTAAACCAAACAAAAGTACGCCACCAACAGACAGGCGCGTCAGAAGCTTGTAGTCATCTGAGCACCTGCGCAGCAGATTTGTGGTGGATCAAGGTGCAGCTTCTGGAAAACTGGCAGAAGCCCTTTGAACAGATCCAAAAACCACCAACCTCTCGCAATGGCCCCCGTGGCTGCGGAAGCCCTCTGCGCACGTGCTGCACAAAATGCCGTCATACCCTCAGGGCCCATGGCAAGTGACAGCAGCAGCCCGGGAAATGCAACTTCTAGGATTGAATGCTAGGCTTTCGCATGTTCAACAGAGCAGCCCTCAGCACAGCCCATGTTTGCTCCGGTGCAAGGAACGCCGGTGCATCGCGATTTTGCTGGGTACAAACACCTCGCACACCAGTGAAGGTTGGCGTTAGAAGACACCACAGAATCAAGCAAAGCTAAGCCATCTGAGATCGGCACTTGAAGAATGACATGTTCAGGCGAGCATGCATTGGTTTGCAGTGGCAGAAATGATCGGGCAAGAACCGCTCTGGAGTGACCTGTAGCACTGTAGCTTCCAAGCTGTAGCAGGCGAACCCTCGCTCGACTGTAATCTCCCGCCCTCCGAGCGCAGTCTCCGACGGCACTGGTAGCAGCTCCAGCGCATCGCCTGCTTCCTTCTCAGTAAGATCAACTCCTCTGAGGTCCACCCTGACTCCTGTGCGTATGGCTTTTTGCAAAACCCCGGGCGCAAAACTGACGTTGGGGTTCTCCGCAAGAGCCAGCAGGCTACTGGTAAACATACCCTCCACAAGCTCAATGTGGTTCAACGACAGGTCCAAAGTCTGCAGGGACTCCGCGAAGTACTGGTCGGTCAGATAATCGGGCAGCCTGCCGGTAAGGTTTGATCCTGCCGCAGACAGCTTCGCGATGCTTCGCGAGTTAATCAGCGGCTGCAGGAGCTCGAGAACTGGACTGTTCAAGGGGCACCGTGAGACCTCAGCTCTGGATCACAAAAAGGAACCTGAGGAGCTGTTTGCCCGTGCAGCCCAGCAGCGTCGAGCACCGTAAGGGCTGGCAGCATCGGCTGATCACCATAAGTTGCATCCAAGATTTTGGCCGAGTGGACCTCTGTGGGCACGAAAGAGGCTTGAGTCTCCTCAGCGCAGTATGCACACAGTGGCATGACTAGGTCAGCAAGGCTGATGGACGAAGGGGCTTGGGCTCAGGCCGCAAGGTCCAGGATGCGCAGTACACCCAGTCTTCCGAGCCACTCGGGGGTCAAGCGACCACTGACAGCTGTGCCACTCAGCCAGGCCTCTTCCAACTTTGGGAAATGCAAAAGATCTTGCAGACGCCCAGTGATTCGTGTTTTAGACAGATCCAGCTCAAGCATCTCCTTCAAGCCATGTAAAGCCTCGAGTTGGCCAGTGACTCCTGTCGACGAGAGCTTCACGGTGTTCAACTGGTCGAGGCCTTTTATATCTTCCAGCCTGCCCTGGATCTTTGTATCGGCCAGCTCCAGCCGCCTGATGTGCTTCATAGTGGTGAGGGCCTCTAGCTTTCCGTCAATCTGTGTTTTGGTCAGGGTCAGGTCAGTGATGTTCTTCAGATCACGCAGCTCATTTAGCCCCCCAGAAATGTGAGTCCTGTACAGATCCAGCTCCTCGAGTTGAGCTAGGGGCCTCAAAGCCCTGAGGCTGCCAGACAAGCTGGGGTTCTCGGACAGGTACAGACACCTGAGTCTTTTCAAGTTGCCCAGCTCCACGGGCAGCTCTCCCGTCAAATTACAGCGCACCAAGCTGATGCTTTCCACACACCCATCATCGCAGGAAATCCCCATCCATTGGCAGTGATCCTTATGTTGGCGCAGTTCAGTAGCAAGGCGCAGCTTCTGCAGCACCGCTCGAAGCATTGCGCGATCCCCGCCACCTCAGTTGGCACAAGCTGGCATCTGCAGAAGTATCAGTTGTCATATGAGGCCAAGCTGAATTCAGAAAGCTGCAGCTGCTGCCCACTGTTGGGCCCTGATGCGGAAGCATGGTGAGTGTCTCCTGCCACCGTTACTTGAACTGACAGAGCTGCTGAATCATTGTAGTATTGTAGTTGGTTCCGCTTCTGTGCCGCAAATGCTCCCATCCCCTGCATATTTCCGCTATCTTGCACGCAAGTTGCACAAATCTGACAGAACCAGCCTGTGAGTGTCGTTTTGCAGCCGCTACAGCAAGGGAAATTGCCAGCCAGGCGACGGCCATGCTAAGTCAACCCAGGCAAGGTGTTGGGTCTGCAACTCAGCCCGGAGGCTAGGCCCAAAGGCCCCAGCGAGTACGAAATTGGGCAAGGGCTTCACAAACCTTCGCAGAACCTAAATGGGCTGATGACGACGAGCTCTCAAGCCAGGAGCAAAGCACCCAGAATTTTCAATGTCGAGCGGACTTCCTGCACAAACATCCATGCATTTGCTATCATTTAGTCACCAGGATGACCTGTGGGACTTCAAGACTAAAACACCTGGGCATCTGCAGTCTTCCACAGGGCAGCACGTGGGAAAAAAAACAGTTGTGGCTGCTGAGGTGCTCTTCTTTTGCGCTGAAACAGCAGGCAGTCCCGCGGCACTTAAAGCGTACAACAGTTGTCCTTCTGACAATTGGCTGCGCCACGTCTGCCGCACGCAGCATTTGTACACAGCGTCCGCGTGGTACTCCCCGATTGCAGCTTGTATCTGCACTTTGAGGCCTGGGCAAACCCATCATGGCCACAACATGCCACAACTTTGCTCTAGATCCCCTGGGAACAACCCCAGCAAGCAATCAGACAATTGAAGTCAGAATCTGAGACAAACATCTTCCCGGGACTCTATGAGGGAGCGTTGTGACCAACTCTCGAGACTCTCACAACATTGCATGGCAAGATGCAACTTCGCGCTCTGTGTGGGATGTCATGAGGCTGTGCCTCAGCGTCACCACAGACCCAGTCATGCTTCGAATTCATGATAGAGGTTTGACAGGCCAGGGATCCTGGGGCTTGTCTGAATCCCCGGCTTGTGGCCTTGCAGCGAACAAGGTTCGGACATGTACTTTACTTTTCCAGGGGCCTCAACCTCGAATACCCTGCTCCGCAGCTGAGGTGCTCGAAGTTCGTGCCAGTGCGCTCTGACAGTCCATCTTTGCCATCGCTCATGGCACCATCTTTTCCTGGTAGCAGTGATGGCTTGCAGAACTCCATCGGAGTTTTGCTGAGGGGGTTGTGCGAGCAGGGTTTGAAGTTTGGAGGCACTTCACGGGGGGTTGGGGTAGGTCGCAGGGGTGGGTGGGGAGGCTTTGGACTTTACGGAGCTTTGAAACTTTGGTGCGCGAAGCCTTCAAAACCTGTAGGCATTCCAGCCACTTTAAACTTGAGACCTTGTGGCATCCACTCTGCGGGTCGTGCAGCGCCCGCCAAGAAAGCAAAGCAGAACGCTCGCAACCTTGGGCAAGCAGGACAGCGCCCATGCGCTGGTCTACATGAAAAAAGGTGCCGAGCAGCATAAGAACCGCCGCCATGGCTTTGCTGAGCTCGGTCAAACAACGTTTTCTTCAAACTGAGCCCGAACGCCTGCCATCATGCACAGTTTACCAAGGCTTGCGAAAACCCAGAACTTTCATGGCCAAGCTGAGCTATACAGCCAGTGGGAACGTGCACGGTCCCAGCACTGAGCACTACAAGATGACATCGGCTAAGTGCTCCAACTCTGGTCTGCTCGTTTTTTCATGGGAATCCGCAGCGTCAATGCCAAATGCAACCAGCAAAAGCAGAACAAGCTGACTCACCGAGCAAATTTCCGCATACTTTGCGACTAAGCACCTCATCACCACCTACTCTGACTCTGCACATCTTGGTCCCTTTCCCTCTCCTTGGGCCGTATACCTCGGCATACTGGCAAGTAGGAGGTGCTGTGACACCCTAGCCAAAGCTGGTCCTAGGAGTTGTGGCGTGTAGTTTACGGGGCCTTTGACATGGCTGGGACGCTGGGAGGTTCAGGATTCTGCGCAACTAAGCGGGTGGACGTGTTTTGATTCTTGGCTCTACCGCGTTGTTTGCTGATGTTGGCTCTTCCCGTTCGTGAAATTCGGTTAGGGTTTTGGCGCTTCGGCTGCAGCTTCCAGGCAAGTCCAAAAACTGATAGGGGGTCAAAGAACCCTAATGCAGACACACGCCACGTAGGTGACAAACAAAGAAACAAACAAGCAAACAAGCAAACAAGCAAACAAGCAAACAAGCAAACAAGCAAACACGCAAACAAGCAAAGAAGCACACAAGCAAACAAGCAAGCAAGCAAGCAAACAAACAAACAAACAAACAGAAACACGACACGAGATCCGAAGTGAAATGTGTTATCCCTCGTTCTCATCTCTTCTCTCTGATCTTTTGTCTCTATCATCTCTTTTCTCTCTTTCTCTCTCATCTCTCCCTCTCTCTCATCTCTCCCTCTCTCTTCTATCTCCCCTCTCTCTCCTCCCTCTCTCTCATCTCTCCCTCTCTCACATCTCTCCATTGCGTCTTGTATCCCTTCTTTCGCATCTCTCTCTCTCTCTCTCTCTCTCTTTCTCTCTCTCTCTCTCTCTCTCTCTCTCTCTCTCTCTCTCTCTCATCTCTCAGTCTGCCTTCTGACCAGGCACTTCGTGAAAGTGCTGAAGCGGAACAACGTGCCAGCCAAACCGAGGCACAGATCTCTGCTCTATGTGTTAAGACAGCTTGTCCAACTTGATCCCGATCTCGACCGGAGGGATAGAGACAGCGCCCCCATTTGCCATGAGATCCAAAAGACCCCGTGAGTCCAGTCCCTTGTTCCCAGCAGGCCCACACGAAGACGACGGCGCTGGCGCAGGTGTGCTCAACTCATCCCTGTTTCCTCTCAAGTGATCCGAGTCGACCCGGTCCCAAGTCCGGGCCAACTGAGCCAGTGCTTTTAATCTGGTTGGGGGGTGTGAGGGTTACCGGGTACTCTGCCTCGAGCCCGGTGGGAGCATCAATGCGAGGTTCCCAGGCTGACTGAAGCCTAGAGGTAGGTCACACTGCCTGCTCGCCGTCTCGCTGTCTGCAGCCTCATCGTGCTGCCAGAGACTTGTTCACCCTTTCCTGCGCAGTCTCAGTGTAAGTCTGTTCCCCTATTTCATCCCATTGCCACCGACTCCACCGACTCCACCTCCAGCGCCTGCGAAATCAGCCCCTTCGGGGGTGCCGGCTGCACACACCGCGCTTGTGCAAACTTGGCACAATCAGAGTCAGGCCACGACGGTGGTCTGGTCGTCCAGCACAGCTACACCTGCCGGCGTGGCTCTTGAGTACTACATTTTCACTGGTGTGGCAGTGGCCATCACTGTGTGGAGAACGCGAGGGTCACCCTCACTTCAACTCTCCACGCCTGTCAGACCTCTGACGCGTAGATGTGGTTCACGTCTTACTGCTGGCTCAGGCCTGAACTCGCAAGGTGCACTGTGTTTGCTTATCATTTGCACCGTGATATGTCCTGCTGCAGCGGAGCACATCACCGCTGAACGAACACTGGCGCCAATAGAGCCTTGCACAGAGCGGTGCATCGCGCAAGCGCTAGGCCAGACGGACAAACCCTGTATCACGGGCGAAGGCATACCCTTACTTCTCCAGCGCGGCTCGCAGTGCCTCAGCCCCCGTCGTCAGTCCCCAGAAGGTGGGTCAGACTGCCGGAAGCACTCCATGTCATTGGGGTCCCAGGCTCAGGCGCTTTCATGGAATGTGGGTGGGTTGTCTAAAACGATACTTGGATTGAGTTTCAAGTCTGGTTACATAATCAAGCTTCACAGGACATCACCCTTCTTCAAGAAACACATAGGCAATTCTCAAATCTCTTCACTCTTCCTCGCTACCATGTTGTTCACACGGGTACCATTCATCACAGATGTCAGGGTTGCGCAGTCTTGATTCGCAGGAGCTTGGTTCAGGAACAAGACATCCGCTGAGCGCCTGTTCTCGCCGGTCATGTTCTTCACGTGCGCTTCCCATATCAAGGACGCCATGTTCATGTCATTAACGTCTCTGAATATGCCTGGAACAACGGCGATAAGGAACAGCTTTTGCTGAAAAGAGATAAGATTTGGTCTAGATTGGACAGACTGATCACTAGTATTCCGTTCCGCAATACGCTGTTGTTAGGTGGTGACTTCAACTGCGTTGGCACGTCTGATCGGAGGCGGTTTGGTCCTGCTATGAACCAAGGGCAGAACCCGCACGCTGACCGCATGCAGCTTGCCAACATCGCCCAGGTGCATCAGTTAACGGCCCTCAATGCGTGGGGACGCCGCTCGAGGTGGTTCACTTTCAGTAACGACCCTGCCACAAGTCAGAAAGATTTCTTGTTCATGCGTCAGGTGCAGCTGGACGGAGCGGCGCGACAGGCCCAGCCTGATCATGGCTTTCATGTCCTGCGCTGGAGGCGAGGGGCGCACAACCACCCTGTCTATGCCTCCATTCCTGCTGTCCACTTTCAGAGCGCCCCCCAACCCACACTCCCTAAATTCGCGAGCAGCCAGCCAGAAGCCTGGGATGCAGCTTCTCCCACTCCATAATGTGAGGAATGCATTCACGGCGTCCCGGCCAATATCACGAGCAGTCGTCCCTGGCGAAGTAGACACCTTAGACAGACGACTCCTCCTGGTAGCCCAGGCTCGCCGAAGCCCGTGACAAAGCTGTTCACAGACTCCCCCGCGCACGCCTCAACGGTTGTAGTAGCGCTCGAGCGCCAGCGCCGGTGCCGTACTGGTCTGTTCTTTACGATGCCCCCGCACAGAGCCCCCTCGAGCAAGTCGCGTAGGTGTCCCGATCTCTGAGTTCAGCTCCTATGGCGCGCTCCCCCGAAGGACACTGTCTGGTGCAGTGACTGTCCTCTTGCTCTCTCCC